TGGGCCCAAAACACCGGGAAAAGGGGGAAATCTGGGAATTCTGGGCCCAAAACACCGGGAAAAGGGGGAAATCTGGGAATTCTGGGGAAAATCTGGGAATTCGGGGGGAAATCTGGGAATTCTGGGGGAAAATCCCCATTTTCAGGTGGAAATCTGGGAATTCTGGGGAAAATCTAGGAATTCTGGGCCCAAAACACCGGGAAAGGGGGAAAATCTGGGAATTCTGGGGGAAATCTGGGAATTCTGGGGAAAATCTGGGAATTCTGGGGGAAATCTGGGAATTCTGGGGGAAAATCCCCATTTTCAGGGGGAAATCTGGGAATTCTGGGGGGAAATCTGGGAATTCTGGGGGGAAATCTGGGAATTCTGGGCCCAAAACACCGGGAAAAGGGGAAAATCTGGGAATTCGGGGAGAAATCTGGGAATTCTGGGGAAAATCTGGGAATTCTGGGGAGAAATCCCCATTTTCAGGGGGAAATCTGGGAATTCGGGGCCCAAAACACCGGGAAAGGGGGAAAATCTGGGAATTCTGGGGGGAAATCTGGGAATTCTGGGTCAAAATCCCCATTTTCAGGGGAAAATCTGGGAATTCGGGGCCCAAAACACCGGGAAAAGGGGGAAATCTGGGAATTCTGGGGAAAATCTGGGAATTCGGGGGGAAATCTGGGAATTCTGGGGAGAAATCTGGGAATTCTGGGCCCAAAACCCCGGGAAAAGGGGAAAATCTGGGAATTCTGGGCCCAAAACACCGGGAAAAGGGGGAAATCTGGGAATTCTGGGCCCAAAACACCGGGAAAGGGGGGAAATCTGGGAATTCTGGGTCAAAATCCCCATTTTCAGGGGGAAATCTGGGAATTCTGGGGAGAAATCTGGGAATTCTGGGGGAAATCTGGGAATTCTGGGGGAAATCTGGGAATTCTGGGAGGAAAATCTGGGAATTCTGGGCCCAAAACACCGGGAAAGGGGGGAAATCTGGGAATTCTGGGTCAAAATCCCCATTTTCAGGGGAAATCTGGGAATTCTGGGGGAAAATCTGGGAATTCTGGGGGAAATCTGGGAATTCTGGGGGAAAATCCCCATTTTCAGGTGGAAATCTGGGAATTCTGGGGGAAAATCCAGGAATTCTGGGGGAATTCTGGGGAGAAATCCGCATTTTCAGTGGGAAAATCCAGGAATTCCCTCCCCAAATCCCATTTTTCCATGGAAAATCCCGGAATTCCCTCCCCAAATCCCATTTTTTAATAAAAAATCCGGGAATTCCCTCCCCAAATCCCCATTTTTCCATGGAAAATCCCGGAATTCCCTCCCCAAATCCCATTTTTCCATGGAAAATCCAGGAATTCCCTCCCCAAATCCCATTTTTCAATAAAAAATCCCAGAATTCCCTCCCCAAATCCCAATTTTCCATGGAAAATCCCAGAATTCCCTCCCCAAATCCCCATTTTCAGTGGGAAAATCCCGGAATTCCCTCCCTAAATCCCAATTTTTCATTGGGAATTGTGGGAATTCCCTCCCCAAATCCCATTTTTCCCTCCCCCAGGCGCTGAAATACGCTTTCCAAACCCACGACCGCCTCTGCTTCGTCATGGAATACGCCAACGGCGGCGAGGTGGGAACTCCCCTCCCAAATCCCAAATTTCCATCCCAAAAAATTCCCTTTTCGCTGCGTCAGGGCCTGGATAATTCCCGTTTTCCTGCTGCTTTTATCCCAATTTTTATTTGGGGTGGTTTTTTCCCACTTTTTCCTCATTTTCCCCTGGATCAGGGCAGCGTTCCCTAAGATTGAGCTCCCGTTTTTCCCATTTTTCCCAAATTTTTCCCCATTTTATTCCCATTTTTCCTCATTTTTCCCCCATTTTCCCCCATTTTCCCCCATTTTTCCCCATTTTTCCCCATTTTCCCCCATTTTTCCCTCATTTTTCCCCATTTTTCCCCATTTTATTCCCATTTTTCCCCATTTTCCCCCATTTTTCCCTCATTTTTCCCCATTTTTCCCCATTTTATTCCCATTTCTCCCCATTTTTCCCCATTTTTCTCTCATTTTTCCCCATTTTTCCCCATTTTTCCCCCATTTATCCCCATTTTCCCCACATTTTTCCCCATTTTCCCCATTTTTCCCCATTTTATTCCCATTTTCCCCCATTTTTCCCCATTTTCCCCATTTTTCCCCATTTTCCCCATTTTTCCCCATTTTATTCCCATTTTTCCCCATTTTCCCCCTTTTTCCCCCCGTTTTTCCCAGCTCTTTTTCCACCTCTCCCGGGAGCGCCTGTTCCTTTTTCCCCCATTTCCCCCCTGTTTTTCCCCCTAATTTTCCCATTTTCCCCCCATTTTTCCCCATTTTTTCCCATTTTTCCCCTCGTTTTTTCCCATTTTCCCCCAAATTTTCCC